CTAGTTTTTCTACCTTGTTTTGTGGCATTCTTTATTTACACTTTTTTTTGCCGATAAAAAAAATTTACAGTTGTAACTTATAAAGAAAATAATTACATGACCGGGGCTAGAAGAAGACAAATTTAGTCTTATCATTAAGCCCCAAAAAATGCGTCATTACTAGACAAAATATAGTTTAACAATAAAATATAGTTTCAATGTATATATCTCTGATTTATATTATAAAAGAAAATTTAAATATATCGCATATCGTTTAAAATTTATAGTTTTTCAAAGAATAAGATTTAACAATTGTTTGGTAAAATAAAAGAAACAAAATTTAATAAAATATTAAAATTACAAAAATAACATTTAAGACTTTGAAAAATAAGAAGATATGATTTTATATAAAAACATTTTATTGGCAGAGCATTTTATAGTTTAACTTATTTAATTATATTTATAATACTTTTCATTGCCAATTAAAGTAAAAGCAAATAAACAGTATAAAATAAAAGTAAAAGATTAATAAATAACGCAAAAATAATAATAAATTTCTCAAAAAGAAGATTATCATTTAAAATGATAAAAATATATGTACAATTGTTGATTAATTATGTATTAATAATTTAAAGTAATTAATTAACTATTAATTATTGATTTCTAATATAACGAAGTTTTATTAGAAAAAATTTAATTCTTTTCAGTTAACAAAAGTAATTGCTTAAGTTTTGTTTTGAATTGGTTTAGAGAATAATTAGTTTTCATTTCATTATTTAATATTATGTTCCACAACTTTGGTCCTCGGTTTACAATAGAGAATTTAGTAGCGGAATAATAAGTTTTGGATTGAATGTAGTTGTATTTTGAAAATCTTGTAGGGTATATGTGATTTATCTTTTCAAAAATTGAATAAAATAAGATTGGTAATATATTTTTATCAAGTTTGAACATGAAAATAAGAACTTGATAGAGGTTTAGTTTATATACATTTAGGATATTGAGCTCATTAAAAAGTGTTTGTGTGTGTGAAAAACGATCTACGTTCGAAATTTCGAAATTCTGCTATCTACAAGCCAGGGGGTTAGTATTATGCTGACATTTTAAGAAGAAGAAGTGATGATGTTTGTTTTGTGTAATGTTTTCATCATTGACTATCCATCTCAGTAATATAATTATTTGCTTATCTATTTTTGATACCTTTATTTATATCTATCTTATGCCGATGGTAATATATGAAATATTTGATAAAATTTTTGACAAGTACAATCAACTTCTAAATTATCTTAAAGTTAGCATAATAGTATTCGATGGATATGAAAATTGTACCAAAGACATTACGCGTATAAAGCGTGGATCTTTAGCACACTATGCAGTACAAATAGAGAGTCAACTGTTAACTTTCTAGGAGTGATTATAGATGAAAATTTATCATGGAAATATCATATTAAATCTATTGAAAACAAAATCTCCAAAAATATTTCAATGTTATATAAAATTAAAACATTTCTTAATATTGAGTCTTTAAAAATTATATATTTTTCATTTATTCATAGTTATCTTTCTTATTGCAATATTGCATGAGGAAGTACTAATTATGGGAAACTTAAAAAAATCTATAGCAAACAAAAACATGCATGTAGGATTATATTTGGCGTTAACAGAACTGTTAATGGTGAATCTCTTCTAGGCGAACTTAATGCACTTGTTTATAAAATTAATATATACCAAGTTATGCTTCTAATGTTTAAATCAAAACATGGTTTGTCTCCTAATAAAAACTAAAAAAAAATGTTTATTTATATATCTTATTATACGATTTACTACTTGTAATATATTGTGTTGTATTTTGTAATTTTTAACTTGTTACATAAACTGAAGGCAACAATGTAAACGGGGCTTGGCGATAAGACAATACACGTCTTCTTATTGCTCCGGCCATATATTATATATGTACGATCTTTCTTATTGTAAATTTTATCAAACGGCAAAGATAAATAAAAATTATAATAAATGAATAAAAGCAATTCTTTTCCGTTTGATAGAAGTAAATTTTTCTCCAACTGCATCAAAAAAAATATTTATCTAAATTCTTGAAGTAAAATTAAGAGAAAGAGGTTTAAATGTGTATGTTTATTATTCTGTCGCAAATACTACATTCATTAAACTCTCACTTTTCAAAAACAGAAGGTGTCACAATCTTTGCAGATAACAGCGATATTCTTTGTGTGTTATTACACCACTGTAAATCAATTGAATCTATACATAAAATCTATTTAAAAGTATAACAAAGAGACATGATTTCCAGCTTGAATATTATGACATTGATGAGATTATTGGCAGTACTGCAAAACTTATCATTAACAACATTCTTTTTGCAGATGCATTTACAGGTTGTGATACTACATCAGTCATACACAATTTTCGAAAAACTTCAACTTTCAGGAATCTTGAAACCAAAAGTTTGTGCGATGTAAAGAATATTTTTTACGACGATGATAAATCATCTGATGAGATTGGAAATGCAACAGTTTGCTTTTTTCAGCTGCTACATTTCTAAATATCAAATCTACAACAAATAGGAAAACAAAAGTACGAAGAAATGGTAAACTCTGATCGGGCTCACATAAACCTTTCTGTTCTTCCACCCTCTCCTAAAGCTGCTTATTACCATGGATTAAGAGTATACCGTAAAGTGCGTATTTGGAGATGTTTAAGTGAAACTGATATTGACTCACTTAATTGGTATATAAATTAAATGGCTTTATGTACTCACCAATAACAATACACAAAAATGCAGATCCAGAAGATATCCTAAAGGTTGTTTGATGAGAGTGTAAAAACTTGTGTTTGATTCGATAATCCTGCAGAAAGATGGACCACACTCCACTTCATCGTGTCACGGTATTTACTGTACGTATGTGGAAAAAGTAGACGAAAAAAACAATGTAGCCGATGACCGTCACTTTTTAGTTGTTTCTACATTAATTAAATTTTGATTCAATTTGTTGCATTTTTAAGTTTCCAATAATCTACTTTGTAAATATGTTCCAATAATCTACTTTGTAAATATGTTTTGAAAATATCTTTGTAACTTTTTTGAACAATCACGTTTAACAGTATTAATATATATTTGAGGAATATTTGTTTTACACGCATATCTTTACGTCAAATTTTTAAATAATTTGCTAAAACAAAGTCTCCCCTCTTCCCTTATACCATACTTCTAGTTATTATTATTTAGCTTTCAGTTTATAAACCAATTACTCATACTTAGGATTTATTGTTATATAAAATGTATTACATTTACTTAAAATGATATTATTTGGCTAAAAAAATATATTTCTATGTTCTTTAGCTAATCTGAGACGTCACATTTCCCCCCCCCCCAAATTAAAAAAAAATTAATATCCATTACTCATTTTAAAGAGAAAAAGATAAGCTTTTCATTAATATATAACTTTTTTTTATAAAAGCTTTTTCTAGATTGAAACTAAATTCTACAGGAATAATAAAACCAAGTTTAATTTCATATGGTTGTAGTCTACCTTGAAATATGAAAATTTCTAAAATTTTAAGTTTATACTGTTTTACCATATTTCATATTTGTAGAAAATGATGGTAATGATTGTTTTCCATTAAAATGTTCAGAAACTATAGAATTTTATCATTAAACAAATTATTTTTATCATTAAAAAAAATTTTAATGATACGCTTAACTTATAATATTTTAATAGGAAAAGGGTTGTCCACACATAATTTTCGACCGTTTTTGACCTCCACCCTGTCACAAAATTGCAACACTTAAGTAGCAAGTTTTATGAGTCCTCACAAAACTACTAAACCTCCCTCACCTTATAGCGTGACGTAATTTGTGGACGACCCCAAACATTTAAAAAATTCTTTTAAGAAAAAAGTCTTTTTTATTTCTTTGGCATCATTAATATGTATTTAGAAATAACCAAAAGTATTCACATGCAGTTTTAAAGTATAAACATTATTCGAGAGATTTAAGTAGGTTTTACTGCTGAAATAAATATTTTGTAATTATATATTATTCCGTGTCCTTATTTAATATAACACATTTATTATAGGAGTCTCGCTTATGTATAGTCACTCAATGATTATTTTTTAAATTTAGAAAAGAATAATTAATAAAATAATAATTAATATTGCTGATAAAAAATTTGATGGTAGAAAAAGTAACGACGGATCATAAACTTTTAAAAAGCGTGTATATCTCGTGTAACTTTTAGTATTTTGTCTTAAGCAATTTTATTGATAAGTTACCACAAATATGTTCTCAATGTTCACCACCAAAAATGTTTGTAATAATAATAAAAAGAATTAAAACGTAAAAATAAATCAAAACCAATTTTTCTTCTTTTCGCCAAAAAATAACAAAAGATTGTTATTAATTTTATTTTGTAGAAGTTTTCATTTTCCTCTAGATTTTGCTTTCATTTCGTGTTTTTGTTTGTGTAAAGTTTGTTTTTATTTGTGCTGTTTTGCTAAATATTTTTATTTTGTTTGCTGTTGTTATTGAGTGCCCAACTTAATTATTTAAAATTACTAAAAATTTGTAATTTTTCAATTTTCAGTTGAATAAATTAATTAAAAAAAAAAAAAGGCTGAAACTTTCTAGCAATTTATGACTGTCATAAAAGCTTATTTGTTTTCATTTGTTAATATGTTTTTATTTGTTAATATGTTTTTATTTGTTAACATGTTTACAGAAACAAAATCGTAAAGTCGCGGCTGGAATTTGAAACCCTGGAATTTGGTCATTTTACCCAAGGTAAGTGACCAAATCGCAACATAGCGTGAACATACTTGAATTTCATAATCTTATAATAATTGGAAGTGTCGTATTTAAAAAATCAGAAAAATTCTGAATCCGACGCAGATATATGCTTCCATAATCGCATATAAAACTAATGAAATTAAAAGTAATTAATATAATTAGTATAATTAATATAATTATGTTTAAAACAATAGCAGTCGTATACGAAAAACTCACATTTACTTGGAAATACTTTTTTATTCTGTTTTATCAAATCTTCACTTCATAAATCTTTCTAATTCTGAACTGTTTGAATACTTTTTTGGTTGAACATTTGGTTTGGAAAGTACTTGAATTCCGAACCAAATGCTTGAATAGTGATTGGAATTATTAATCAGAGATTTTATAAAAAAAAAAATTCAAGTGCATTTAATACAGTTTTTATGACTACATCTAAACAACAATTGTGTTTATGAAAACCGACTGCAACAAATGACAGTGAAAAAACGATAGCTCACAACCATTTTTCGTTTAAATTTACCAATATACTGTTGCAAATTAACGACAGATAAAATATTAAAGTATAACTTTAACTTCATTATAAAGTCTCTCATATTCTGCCAATTCTTTTCGAGCTTCTTCTTCTTTTTCAATCATTTCAAGCTACAACGAAGTAAACACAATAAATAAAAAAAGCCCATTAATTGCAAATATTAAAGAAAATGTTTTCGCGATTAAAAAGTTAAACTAAACTGATAAGTAAATAAAATTTAGTAAATAAATTTAGTAAATAAAAAAAAAGGTAATTCAACCAACGACAAATCTAAATTCTTAACTTAATTCAATAATCTTACAAAACTTTAACACGAAATAACATTATGTAATGTAGGGCAACTATATTATGTAATGTAGAGCAAATACCAGGGGCGTGTACAGAAATTTTTTGGGTAAGTCCAAAAAAAAAAAAAAAAAAAGTCCCCCTCTACCTCCCTATTTTTTTAGAGAGGGGGAGGGGGACCGGATTTTGACCGGACTGAGTGTATTTTATAAAAATGTTTTTATTCTTTAAATGACTTGTGACATTGATAAAATGGTCACTTAAGCTCAAAATATGTTATTTGAAAACTAAAAAAACTATTTTTTGAAAATACTCAGTTTTGGTAATGTATAATATATACAAATTAAAATTTTTTACAAGATTTGTAAAAACAATTTACAAAATTAATACAAGATTTTGCTGTGTAAATTTTTTTATATAACTTTATAAATAATATTTAATTATAAATAAATACTTTAAGTCAAAAAACTTATTGCAATAACTGTACAATGCTAAATGTTTTTACAAAGATGTCAGCTATGAAAATAGCTGTTTGCCAAAAAGCAGCTCAAACATTTGAAGTTATACTTTTATCGAATTTGAATTTTATTTAAAACACAACTCATAAGTATTTATAATAAACTTAAAAAGGTTTGTTGCTTGTAATGTTTCAGTATTATTAGATTAAAGTTCATTTTTGAAATTCAGGCAGTTAAGCGAAATTCATCTAAACTTCCCACAGATCAAATTTAAGTATAAAGCCTTTGGTTTGGAAATAATAAATAAACCTAATAAAGCCTTTGGTTAAACAAAAGACACTAAAACATATGATTTGGTCTTCCCAACTAGTATAACAAAACATTGAATTTCTGCAATTGTTTTTAGAAGAAACTGAATATTAGAAAGAAGAAATTAAAACACAGGTGCTTATAACACTTCAAAATTGTATCAATCAAACATTGTGTTAAACTCAGTAATCTAGATAAAACTCAGATAGTCTAGCAAGAAACAGAGATAACCAAGTTAAAATAATTTGAAATGCAATTTTTAGGCTTGTTTAAAGCATATTTGAAGGTGTTGATTAATAATATTTCTAACTATAGAGACAAAAACTTTTAATGCTTCAATAAGATTTAAACTATAAAAATTATCACTATTACTTGCTTGCAAAATTGTGTAATTAAAAAAGTTATTTTAAAAAAATGTCTTGTTATACACAGTGCATTAATAAAATCAAAATTTGTTATTAACTTCAGTAGAAGCAGTAGCAGGGGCTGCACCATTATTGACATTCTTTGCGACAAAAAACCACAGGTACAAAAAGCTTTCGTAAAGTATCCATGCCACAATTTCACATTTCATAACACCCAAAAAAAAATCAGTAATAGCTTTTATTAAAATACTAAGTAAACAAGTTTTTTTTTTATGCGGTTCATCATAGTTCCTATTACGATTATCATGATTCTCATAAAGGATAAACAATATGGCTAATTAAAATTTATACTTAATAAGTCTAAAATCTTCTTCTTGATTATTAAAGAAAACCAAATACTAGTTTTTATCGATGCAAATATGAACAGCTTCTACTTGTAACAACACTCTGTCTTCCTTTCTTGTATCAAAAGGATATCGTGATATCAAAAGTTCTTGTATCAAAAGGATATCGTGATATCAAAAGTTCTACACAATTAATATAATATTTGTTCGCCTAACTTTATAGGAAATGATGCTTTTCTTTAACATACTAACTTTTTCTTTAAAATGCTATATTAGCTTGCGAATTAAGCGACATTTTGAAGTAAACATCCGCCATGTTATATGTTTAATAAAATTAATTAATTTAATAAAACACAAATTAAGCAGGGTGTATGGCAAAAGGGAAGTCCGAAATTTATTTTCCACATTTAAAACCTTTTTTCTCCTTATTTGTTACTTCAAATGCAAGTTATTAAAATGATACACAATCTAGTGTAATAAAACACGGGATGTCAATTGATATATTTTGATATATACTAGTTGTTACAAACTAATTTTACCTCCTGATGATAGTTAAACAATAAAACTTGATAAAAATTCTACTCAGGGTGTATGTCAAAAGGGAAGTCCAAAGTTTGTTTTAACTAAAATAATTATTTTAATTTTTTTTAAACCAATGAAAAAAAAAATTAAAAAAATAAAGTTCTATATAACAAAATAAAATAAGGTATTTCAATTCAAGTTTCTAATAAAGTTATTTAACTCAAAAGTTAGTTTAACCTCCATCAAAACATTGTAATTATTATTTTTTAACAATCGCAAAATTATGAAACCGATATAATATTTTCCGGTTTTTAATATTTTGGAATTTGAACCGTTTTTTGTTTTTTTATTTTTTTCCAACTGTTTCAGATAATTAACCGTGATTTGTTTAGTTTTAGCTATAGTAAGATTTTTTCAACAATATAATCAAGTTATAAAACTTTTATTTAATTTTTTTGGGTACGTCCAACGACGAAGCAGACATCCCCTAGACACGCCCCTGAATACATTATGTAATGTAGAGCAAATACATTACAACTAGTAGCTTAAGAAATCACTATTAAGAACAGAAAAATGTGGTAAAATAAAATCCATCACAATATCGATCATAATAAGAAAATAAAAATTAAAAAAGAAATATCACAATCGATATCTAATAAAAAAAAAAAGGGTTGGAAAATGACCAAATAAAACCCAAAAATATTTTCTTTTTTTTTAAATGTCCTACTATACAACTGATCTGTTTTTTTTTCACATTTAAATAAATTTAAACTCTTGATTTAATTTTTAAAATAAATTTATTTTCAAATATTTATAATTTTATTTATAATTTTATAATTTATTTTCAAATATTTATAATTTTATTATTTTTAATTTATTTTCAAATATTTATAATTTTATTGCAAAAATTGCAATGGTACAGTTTTACATTTCTCAAAATGTAAAAATGGTTACATTTTTACATTTCTCAAAAATTCAGCAGTAAAAAGCTTTTTAAATCTCACAAAATAAAAGTATTAAATTAATAAATAATTAGAATGTGTTAATTAAACATACATATATATACATATATATGTACATAGGCACTAATCCTAAAATAGGCTTAAGTAAAACAGCCTGGGTAAGTGATTGAGAAAGACAAAAATTTTAAGCATTATAGCAAACAATGGCACTAGAGCCAAGTCATGTGATAAGCATTAACGTCACAATAATAACTGAAAAATAATAAAAAAAAAGCTTGAAGAAGTATAATAAGAAAGTGCTTGAAGAAGAATAATAAGAAAGTGGTTGAGGCAATTTCGTGTGAAAACATCCACTTTTTTTATTTATAAGACATTAAGTCTTAAATTTTGCTGATTTTTACACCACTCAAAGATTTTAATAAGTTATAAACACCCCCATAATTTTGTTGTCTAACTCCAAACGGTTTCAAATATATAACTATTTTAACTTTGTCTTGAACCATCAAAAACCCGACATTTAAAAAAAATGCTTGCTACCATAATGGTAATAGAACAGTTATGCCTAAAGAAAATGACATAACGTTAATTTTTTATTTTAATAAAAATAGTATACAATATTATATACATATAGAACTTTTTAACTTAATAAACTTCTAAACTTGTGTGGCTTAGGCAGTTTTCCATAATGCCAATTTTTGTATTTAAGTTGAGACATAAATGAGTAAAAGCAGCTTTTTACAACCGAAAGTACTTCCTGGCATAAACCTATTTTGTAGATCAAAACTGAGTATTTTTCTGATCCTACAATTAAGAGAAACATGGGTTGAGTATTTTTCTGATCCTACCATCAATTAAACTTGTCTACAGCTTGTGGTCCAGACAACATTCCTGTCACAGTCTTGCAGAATTGTTCTCCAGAACTTTCTTCAATTCTCTCTAAACTATTTAACAAGTGTTTGACTGAGTCTTGTTTTCCTGCTTGTTGGAAAATGGCATCTGTGGTTCCAATATTCAAAAACTCTGGAGAAAATTCTGACCCCTCCAATTATCGTCCGATCAGTCTTCTTTCTGTTATTAGCAAGGTCTTTGAGTCTTTAATCAATAAATTCCTCACATCTCATCTTGAGTCAAATAAACTGCTGTCAGACAATTAATACGGTTTTCGATCCTCTCGCTCTACGGCCGACTTGTTAACTGCTGTAACTGAAAGATTTTATCGTGCATTAGATGGAGGCGGTGAGGCTAGGGCTATTGCTCTTGACATATCTAAAGCTTTCGACAAAGTTTGGCATGCTGGTCTTCTCCATAAGCTTGCTTCATATGGTGTTTCTGGGAAAGTTTTTGAGATTATCAAATCATTTCTTTCTGACCGGTTTATTAAAGTCATCCTTGAAGGCCAACACTCTTCTTTATTTCCAGTAACTTCTGGGGTTCCCCAAGGTTCCATCCTGGGTCCTGTTTTGTTTCTTATCTACATAAACGATCTTCCTGACAACCTTTCATCTAAAGTAGCTCTTTTTGCTGATGACTCAACTTTATACTCCTGTCTTGACAAAAAGTCTTCTCTTTTCGATCGCCTAGAACAAGCAGCTGATCTTGAATCTGATCTCACTTCAGTAATAGATTGGGGTTCACAGTGGCTTGTGAATTTCAACTTTAAAAAAACCCAATTGCTTACTGCAAACAACTACCGTAATATGGTCAACATTCCTATATTAATGAATGGCAATCCTCTTACTGAGTCGTCCTCTTTACGTCTTCTTGGATTATTGCTTACTACTGACCTTTCATGGAAACCATATATACAATCGATTGCTAAATTAGCTTCTGCTAAGGTTGTTTCTCTTTATCGTGCTCGCCATTTC